GAGTTGACATTTCTGCATCCATGGCTAACTTCCAATTCAGATCACTAGTCTGAGCGGTGGATCGAGGAATATGGGAGAAGTCGGAAGCAACGGAGAGATTAAGAATGGTATGCGGTTTTAGGGAACCTGTTCCAGAGAGAGTAGTCATGGGATGACCACCTGTTGGAGGAGGAGACGGATTTAGAGGAGATGGAGAAGTAGTGGTGACAACAGTGGGTCTGGCTGCTCAGTTGGGAGGTAAACTGATGGAGAAAGTAGAGAGGGAGGGGGGTTATTATCAGGAGTAAATTGATCATAATCAGATTCGGAAGGGGCAGGGTGAACAGTAAGGTAAGTGATCTTCATCGAATATGACATGATGGGAGATGATGCGTCGTGTGACAAGATCAAGACACTTGTGTTCTATATATATGATCCGATGTAGGAACAAGATAAACGCACGCAGTGGACCTAAGAGAGAGCTTATGATAGGAGGTTTCTAACACAAGCAACCATAGACATGAAGGTGATCATACTTCGGAAAGAAACCAAAGAGAACCTCAAAGGGTGCCTTTAAAGGAAAGAGTGGTAGTCGGAAGAAAATTAAGAGTGTGAACAATTTGTACACTTTTGAGTTTGGTGTTGAATTGTCGTTCAACCATAGTAGTGAAACTTGTAAATGTAGAGTACACATAAGATTTCTGTGCAAGTGGGTAAAACCACATGTACCTAGTGTAATGATCAACACATAAGAGAAAATATTTATGACCATCAGAAGAGATTATGGGAGAGGGTCCCCAAACATCACAATAAACCAAATCTAAAATTTTATTACTATGAAAAGTATAGTTACGTAATGAAAGCTTAGAAGATTTGCCCAACTGACAAGAAGTACATAAAGAGGAACTGAGTTTTGTAGAAACTGGTAAAGAACAACTAGAAACAATTGAATTAAAAACTCGTTCGTGTGGATGACCGAGACGTTGATGCCAAGTGACAGACGAAGCTTTGACGGCTGTGAAGGTAAGCTTGGGAAGGGGCTGGAGTTGAGGAAGACGAAGCGAGTAGAGCCCGTTATTGCTTGGACCCGAAAGAAGGATAGTGTTGGTAGCCTCGTCCTTCACAACAAAGAAAGAAGTGTGAAACTCAAAATAAACATCATTGTCTTGACAAAATTGTTGGACATATAAAAGATTCTTGTGAAGTTGAGGAACATGGAAAACATTTGTAAGATTAAAGATTTTGTTAGGAGAAAAATATTTTGATGAACCAATATGAAGAATGGGTAGAGGGTTACCGTCACCAACCGAGAGTGAGTCATTACCATGATATGCTTCAGAGTTGTCTAGGTTTGATAAATCAGGAGTATCATGACTACTTGATATGTGAACCATGTAGCTGCTGATGTAGATGCAGAATCAGAACAGGTGGCGATATTAGCTTGAGAGTTGGGCCTTTTAGGCTGATTTGGGCACTGAGATGGTAGGTGACCTATACCACAGCGGTTGCAGTGACCATACACAGAAGTGTTCTGAGTGGATGCCCATTGAAATTGGCGAGTGTTGGAGTTGTTGTCACGACTTTGGTAATGCTGGTTACCTCGTGAGTTACCACGAAAAATGCCTGGACGGTTTTGGTTACCTCGGTTGTTTGAAGGTCGGGAGGCGTAGTTAGCCTGGGGCTGGGTATTTTGTGAGCCCATAGGATTTGGTTGACACCCTAATTGAGAGGCTAACAGCTGCAGGTTGTTAAGTTGAGACTGAATAGCAGCAAGATCAGGTAAAGAAGGAATAGAAGTACCTCTAGTTGTGGCAGCATAGACCTGTGGTGAGGTGATAATGGGTAAGGAGGCTGATTTGTTGATCATGTAGTCATGGTTAGACAAGAGGGCGTGAAGATCATTAAAAGTGACCGGTGGTTGACGTGCCAAGAGGTTTGATTTCAAACCATTGTACTCATCTCGTAAACCTGAGATGGTGAGCATAACTAAGTCTTTGTCCTTCATAGGTTCGCCAATGTTGGCGAGAGCTGATGCATATTCCACTGCACGAGTGAGATATTTAAGTGGAGTTTCGTCTCCTTTCATCTCTATGCGAAGTAGTTGTGTTTTTAACGTGTATTCACGAGAGGCAGAATTTGGTGCATATGCACGTTCTAAGGAAAGCCAAAGATCTCTAGAAGTTGTACCTTGAACATGTTGGAAGGATGCTTCAGAAATTGTCGACAGAATGATCATTCTAACATGTGCATCGTTAGCAATCCAAGGAAGATAACTAGGGTTATCAGTTATTGCATCCCCTGTGGTAACTTTCTGTTCAGGGCGTTGAATGGTGCCATCTACATAGCCAATTAGATGGTTAGTAGTTAAGAATGGTTCAATCATCGCCTTCCAGAAACCATAGTTTGTAGGAGAGAGGGTGAAGGCGAATTTGTGAGTGTTGTGGGCTGTTTTCTCTGCAGCAGTAAAGGCAATAACAGCAGCCATGTGTTGGTGATCGGAAGAAGAAGAGAAGAAAAAAAAATCCGATCAGATTTAGGGTTGGAGGCGGCAAGAGGTTTCTTGGCTCTGATACCAAGACAAACTGTGTAATTCTTTATTATTGCTACAAAATTACATATAAACTCTATATAAAGAGTATAATATTACACTTCAATACCCTTTACTTATTATAACTTTAAATTACATAGTCTAACAGTGAGAAGTGCTTCAGGCCTTCAGCCTAAAAGGTGGGGGCTAAAGACGCTTGGAAAAGCAAGGTGTGAACAATGTTGGTTATAGTACGAATTGATCGTTTTGCTTTTACATTTTGCTGAGACGTATATGGGCAAGGGAAACAAATGGAGATCCTACGAGATTGAAGATAGGTAAGAAGAAGATGATTATTAAATTCGAGTCCGTTGTCACACTGAAAAGATTGAATGTCAGTTTTAAATTGATTTTTGACATACATTCTAAAGTTACAAAAACAGAATATACCTCAAACTTCATGGAAAAAGCCATGGAAAATGCAAAAAAATCATCTAAAAAAAGAATATAATATTTAAAATCATTTAAACTGGTGACATGAGATTTCCATAAATCGGAATGAATAAGTTCAAATACACAAAAAGTTTTAGACAACGAAGAAGTAAAAGACAAGCGACAATGTTTTCCAAGTTGATAAACACGACAAATTGGAACTTTATTAGTACTACTAGAAATAAAACGACACGACTGCAAAAACTTGAGAACTGAAGATCCGAGATGGCCTAACCGATGATGACAAGTGGGAAGGGACACCATTGTGAGCTTTATCCGGAGCCGAGGGAATGGAGGAGGGGGTACACGGGTACAAATCACCAACACTATCACATCGTTCGAGAAGAGCATCCGAATCAAAATCATTTACAGAAAAACCAAAGGGGTCAAATGAGACAAAATCCCAATTATCAGTTGTAAGTTTACGAACAGACACTAAGTTTTTAATCATTTGATTTGACATTAAAACATTTTAAGAGAAAATTTATTATTAGAATAAGGAAGAAACGCTTGACCAACATGAGAAACCGGAATAATTGCACGATTACCAACAATTATGGATTTAGAGCTACACAGTGAGGCCATGACCTCGGTACGATCCAACTCCTTCAAGTCTAGTCTCACATAGACTTCACACTTCCTTCTCGGGCGTCCTTTCCTCCTTGCGCCATTAATAATGAACGTCCCCACCCTCCAATCGCAACAACTAGTTCCCTCCAATGCACTTGTCTAAACCACCACAATTCTAGAAGGGAAATAATCGAGTAGATGTAGATTATTCTGTGCAAGTTATGTTTGCCATCAAGATAGTTTTTTCTAACAAGAATGGATAGGATGAGACTCAAATTAATGTATGTATGTGTGGGTATGTGTGTAGGTAGGTACGCACATACGTATGTTGTATGCCATATTTGTGCACCTACTCACCTAGCAACCATGAAGCCATATTTGTGCCTTATAAAAGCAGTTTGTTGAATGCAGTGTTTGGGAACATGTTGTCAAGAAAGGGGATGCAGTTGTGGATGCCACTTGTGGAAATGGTTACGATACCTTGGCGATGGTGAATATGGTGGCTGATGAGTCACGTGCTGGCCGTGTTTATGCAATGGACATTCAAGAAACCGCAATAAAGAATACCATGTCTTTGTTGGATAGATCGCTTCATCCTGATGAGGTGACATTTTTCTTTATTTCCCATTATTGGCTTTATATACCATTACATACATGTCTATAGTAATTTAATTGTTTTGATTCTTTCCAGAAAGAAATGGTAGAGCTATATGCTACGTGTCATAGCAAAATGGAACAAGTTGTTCCAAGGAGTGCTACAGTGAGGTACACAGATGCCTGTAAATGTTACCATATATTAATATTTAAGGAGAAAGTTACATAAATGGTCCTTGTGGTTGACAGAAAATACCACTGTATGTCCTTTTGAGGAATTTTTAACATGGTTGAGAAAGTTACATAAATGGTCCTTATGGTTTCAAAATCTTAAAAATACCATTCGTAGTTTTAAAACGACCATGGTTGGTCATTCCTCTAAAAGGAGCTGTGATGGTAATACAAGGAGCATTTTATGTAGTTTTGTTGTAATAGTTGTTGTTCCTTGATAGGGTGGTTGCATTCAACTTGGGATATCTTCCGGGAGGTGAGAAAACAGTGATTACTAAACCAGAAACAACCCGATTAGGAATGGAGGCTGCAACCAGAATAGTTGTAGCAGGAGGTGTTATCAGCATGCTCGTTTATGTGGGGCATCCTGGTGGCATGTAATTAATTTATTAAACTTCCTCTTGCTGCATTCAAATGTTCAATTCGTTCTGTTATCAAATATTAAATCATGATTTTTTTTTAACATTGATAAGGTTGATTTTGTGCAGGGAAGAATATGAGATGGTGGAAGCCTTTGCTTCTGGATTGCCAGTCGATACCTGGATATGCTGCAAGCTTCAAATGTTGAACCGCCCGTTGGCTCCCATACTCTTTCTCTTATGTAAGAGGTAAAACACAAAGGATTTTTTTTTCCTAGATAGACTAGGACCTGAAAATGGATGGGGAAGGGTGGTAACGCCAATTCCAACGAGGAAGATGAAAGGGTTGTATGGGTGACGAGAGTAGGGTAAGGAGTTTTTGGTCATTTTGTTTCTTGTTCCACTGCGTTCCACCATCTTGGGTGGGACTAAATTTTGAAGAATTAGTCTCATTGGACTTGGTCAACAACCCGACTTGTTCCGGTCTAATTTATGCCAAACACCTATTGGGAAAACTTTGTTCTATTCTATTTTGTCCAGTCCCATGCACTAAACACTACCTTAAAGGTATAGATCTCGAGTTGATTTAGTGGTTAATTTAATATTTAACAGACTAAATAACCATTGTCATTAGCCACAATGAATGATGGTTTCAAACATCAAATTTGCCGACGTAACAAAGAAAAATCAATGTTTAAATCCACTGTTCTGAATCAACATATTGTTAATTGAATGTTTAACCAACTAAATAATCGTCGTCTAGCCACTATCAACAATGGTTTTGAACATCAATTTTGCCCATGTAAACAAGAAAAATCAATGTTTAAATCCATTGTTCTGAATGAACATATTGTTAATTGAATGTTTAAACAACTAAATAATCTTTGTCTAGCCACTATCAACAATGGTTTCGAACATCAAATTTGCCCATGTAAACAAGAAAAATCAATGTTTAAATCCATTGTTTTGAATGAACATATTGTTAATTGAATGTTTAACCAACTACATAATCTTCGTCTAGCCACTATCAACAATGGTTTCGAACATCAAATTTGCCCATGTAAACAAGAAAAATCAATGTTTAAATCCATTGTTCTGAATGAACATATTGTTAATTGAATGTTTAAACAACTAAAAATCTTCGTCTAGCCACTATCAACAATGGTTTCGAACATCAAATTTGCCCATGTAAACAAGAAAAATCAATGTTTAAATCCATTGTTCTGAATGAACATATTGTTAATTGAATGTTTAAACAACTAAATAATCTTCGTCTAGCCACTATCAACAATGGTTTCGAACATCAAATTTGCCCATGTAAACAAGAAAAATCAATGTTTAAATCCATTGTTCTGAATGAATATATTGTTAATTGAATGTTTAACCAACTACATAATCTTCGTCTAGCCACTATCAACAATGGGTTTGAACATCAAATTTGCCCATGTAAACAAGAAAAATCAATGTTTAAATCCATTGTTCTGAATGAACATATTGTTAATTGAATGTTTAAACAACTAAATAATCTTCGTCTAGCCACTATCAACAATGGTTTCGAACATCAAATTTGCCCATGTAAACAAGAAAAATCAATGTTTAAATCCATTGTTCTGAATGAACATATTGTTAATTGAATGTTTAAACAACTAAATAATCTTCGTCTAGCCACTATCAACAATGGTTTCGAACATCAAATTTGCCCATGTAAACAAGAAAAATCAATGTTTAAATCCATTGTTCTGAATGAACATATTGTTAATTGAATGTTTAAACAACTAAATAATCTTCGTCTAGCCACTATCAACAATGGTTTCGAACATCAAATTTGCCATGTAAACAAGAAAAATCAATGTTTAAATCCATTGTTCTGAATGAATATATTGTTAATTGAATGTTTAACCAACTACATAATCTTCGTCTAGCCACTATCAACAATGGTTTTGAACATCAAATTTGCCCATGTAAACAAGAAAAATCAATGTTTAAATCCATTGTTCTGAATGAACATATTGTTAATTGAATGTTTAAACAACTAAATAATCTTCGTCTAGCCACTATCAACAATGGTTTCGAACATCAAATTTGCCCTTGTAAACAAGAAAAATCAATGTTTAAATCCATTGTTCTGAATGAACATATTGTTAATTGAATGTTTAAACAACTAAATAATCTTCGTCTAGCCACTATCAACAATGGTTTCGAACATCAAATTTGCCCATGTAAAGAAAAATCAATGTTTAAATCCATTGTTCTGAATGAATATATTGTTAATTGAATGTTTAACCAACTACATAATCTTCGTCTAGCCACTATCAACAATGGTTTTGAACATCAAATTTGCCCATGTAAAACAAGAAAATCAATGTTTAAATCCATTGTTCTGAATGAACATATTGTTAATTGAATGTTTAAACAACTAAATAATCTTCGTCTAGCCACTATCAACAATGGTTTCGAACATCAAATTTGCCCATGTAAACAAGAAAAATCAATGTTTAAATCCATTGTTCTGAATGAACATATTGTTAATTGAATGTTTAAACAACTAAATAATCTTCGTCTAGCCACTATCAACAATGGTTTCGAACATCAAATTTGCCCATGTAAACAAGAAAAATCAATGTTTAAATCCATTGTTCTGAATGAACATATTGTTAATTGAATGTTTAAACAACTAAATAATCTTCGTCTAGCCACTATCAACAATGGTTTCGAACATCAAATTTGCCCATGTAAACAAGAAAAATCAATGTTTAAATCCATTGTTCTGAATGAACATATTGTTAATTGAATGTTTAAACAACTAAATAATCTTCGTCTAGCCACTATCAACAATGGTTTCGAACATCAAATTTGCCCATGTAAACAAGAAAAATCAATGTTTAAATCCATTGTTCTGAATGAACATATTGTTAATTGAATGTTTAAACAACTAAATAATCTTCGTCTAGCCACTATCAACAATGGTTTCGAACATCAAATTTGCCCATGTAAACAAGAAAAATCAATGTTTAAATCCATTGTTCTGAATGAATATATTGTTAATTGAATGTTTAACCAACTACATAATCTTCGTCTAGCCACTATCAACAATGGTTTTGAACATTAAATTTGCCTATGTAAACAAGAAAAATCAATGTTTAAATCCATTGTTCTGAATGAACATATTGTTAATTGAATGTTTAACCAACTACATAATCTTCGTCTAGCCACTATCAACAATGGTTTTGAACATCAAATTTGCCCATGTAAACAAGAAAAATCAATGTTTAAATCCGTTGTTCTGAATGAACATATTGTTAATTGAATGTTTAACCAACTACATAATCTTCGTCTAGCCACTATCAACAATGGTTTTGAACATCAAATTTGCCCATGTAAACAAGAAAAATCAATGTTTAAATCCATTGTTCTGAATGAACATATTGTTGATTGAATGTTTAACCAACTACATAATCTTCGTCTAGCCACTATCAACAATGGTTTTGAACACCAAATTTGCCCATGTAAACAAGAAAAATCAATGTTTAAATCCATTGTTCTGAATTAACATATTGTTAATTGAATGTTTAACCAACTAAATAATCGTTGTCTAGCCACTATCAACAATGGTATTGAACATCAATTTTGCCCATGTAAACAAGAAAAATCAATGTTTAAATCCATTGTTCTGAATGAACATATTGTTAATTAAATGTTTAACCAACTAAATAATCGTCGTCTAGCCACTATCAACAATGGGTTTGAACATCAATTTTGCCCATGTAAACAGGAAAAATCAATGTTTAAATCCATTGTTTTGAGTGAACATATAACTTCACTCGATATCATCAATGGAAAACAAAACGTAAATTGATCGCAATGAAACTCACACCCACAATCTCCCGTTGTACATCATTGTCTATCCTCATTGAGTCTCCGATTCTGAGGGAGTGTTAGTGTATTCTATATTGGCGTGACACCGTTTTATAAGTGATTATATATGGAAGTTTCCTTCTCTTCAGTAAGGGGTTTTTTGGAGAGATATTTTTGGGCTCTATATATATTTACAGTAAATCTAAAATGTGAAAATCAAGCCCAAATCGAACCCTAAACAAAAACACAATTTAAATGTAATCATGTCCGTACTTTAGGTTGACATCATTTATTTTTGGAAACACTCCGGACAAAATGTTTATTTAATATGATGTGTACTAATTGACATAAACAAACCAATTATTGCGGCAAATATCTTCCAATTTGATGAAACTGACGGTTGTACCAACGAAAATGACAGGAAGTGGATTCATGTTTTATTTACCCATTGGTTTGCATTGACGAAATTATGGGTGGTGTGCAACTCCTCTCATGCCCACCGCTCCCCACAGTAATTTCGTCAAAATTAGGGATTAACGTAAAAATTAGGGATTAATTTGAATTGCCTGAGCTGTTAACGTAAAAATTAGGGATTAATTTGAATCCATGCATGCATGCATCCGACTAGCCTTGCATCTCGAATTTCGTAAGAAAAATGTTAAAGAAAAATATCGCCGCACAATGTCATACAAGATACCATTCTTTGTTATGCTCTATTGATGATCACGTCCCACGAGATTTGGCAAGGAGATAATCCTCTCGATTATTCGCTTCCTCTTTTTATTTGACAACTATTGATCGTCATTGTTGTTGGGTTTGTATTAAAAAACCGTCTAATTTTATTCTCAAAAACTGACCTAAATAACAATGGAAGCATTCTTTGTTTGAATAAGCTAAAACCATTTTATACTCACCAATGATCATTTTGAAAGAACTTAGAAAGATTAAACATAACCAAAGAAGAAGAAAGTATGACAACCTTTGAAGACTTTGGTTCATTTTGACAATTAGAAAGTTGATGAAGATACCTTGAAGTTCCAAAATAAAAGCTTCCTATAATGTATGTACCAAGCAAGATGAAACCACCATTATACGTGATATGTAATTTATATACTACTTTTTAATTTATAAACCAAACAAATCTAGACTAGCTAATACGCAATATGAAGTGTAACTAATTGAGTAATACAGGTAAGTCGAGTACCGATCACAATGCATAAAAATGATTAAAAGCTATAATATCTACTAAAGTTAACTAATTTAAACAAAGCAAATGAGAGGAGGGGGGGGGGGTTATGGTTTTGCAGGTCCAGGAAACTTAAGAGCAGTTAACAAAAGCAAATTAAATTTAAGAAAAAACAGAAAACGATTTTTAAGACAGTATAATTCACCTATTAT